TTCGTGGTAAAAAATACGAATTTACTGCCTTGATACATAAATAACTATTACAGTAAAACATATTTGTCATTTGTCATTGCAAGCTTATTCAAATATATACGCCCTTATAATATTTGATTTAAATATTAACAAATAAACCACAATGAAACAACTTTCTACCTAATTAAAATTTTATAAAACAAAGAGACAGCAGACAAAATAATAAAAAAAGCATTTTTTGTTCAAAAACCCATTCTCAAGTGGTAAAAACTGCACTATTTTCATAATTGACGGTATTTTCGGATTCACGGGACAATTTTACATAAGAATTGGCTGTTAAAGTTTGGGATATCATGGTATCCCATGGTTAACCATGGTACAAGTGAAAAAGCAGTAATTAGTCATTTTTGACTAATTCATTTTTAGTGAGAGTATACACTAGTTATTTATACCAAACAGCCACTTTAATTTTAACTTGGGTTTAACTTTGTAACTTATTAATAACAATATTTTGTAACAGTGACTTCAAAAAATTATGATTTTGGGTGTAACTTTTGATGGCAGTTTCAAATTCACAAATTATGTATATCTGCATCTCAAAACATTATACTTAATGTATTAAATTTAGAAACCAAAAAACAACTTTGCGAATCACTTGTTTTATCGACGTTTAATTACTGTTTACCTGTTTATTACCCATTTTTGGATAAAGTTACTACACTGAAAGAAATATATACTAAAGTTAAATAAAAAAATAATTAGGGCAAATATATTTTATGTTTCATATATAGACTACCACATACATTGCTAAAACAAATATATTCGTTTGGTTAGCAGCCTATTGCTGCCCTAGCAATATAAATGGTGTTTCTAGCAATATTTTTTTGCTGTAATTCACTTATAGTTTACATTTTATAGTAAGGGTAAGTTTATTTTTATTTAGATCTAACATATCTTCTTTACAATAAATGTATTACAAAATTTACCATACATTCATAATAAACAGTAGTATAAATGTGTAAAGCACTAGTATAAAATTTTTAGTATAAATTTGTATTTACTTTTAGCAACAAATTTCTTTCAGTGTAAAAATCGAATTCAAAAGATGCAAAATTCATGTTGCAGGTTTGTTTTTAATGTTGAGTTGAGGAGCATCCGTGCAAAACCGGCTAAATCCATTTTATTCAGTTTTTGTTTTTTTTTTGATTTCGCATCTTTGGGTTCATTTCTATCGACAACCAAGATAATTCTGTTTAAATCCGACTATATCCATGTTAAAATCACATTTAAAAGGTAGCTTTAGGAGCAAAACCGGCCAAATCCACGTTTTTATATCAAACCCGGCTATATTCAATAAATAATAATATGTGGCTTGGATATGTCGATACTACTACTAGAATTTGTTCTGTTTTTTCATGTTTGCACTAAATTTATTTTGTTAATATTTTTTAATAATAAAGGTTTTTTACACATTTTATTGGTTTTTTATTCGGTTTTCGAGCAAAACTGGCTCACGGTGCTGTTCTAAGAGGTGATTTTTGGACTTTCTGTGAAACCTATTTTTTTTTTATATTCTTGTTAATTAGGTCATAACTAAAATTTTAAGAGCAAAATAAAAAAAATTTGACGGTTAATTTTGTTTTAATTGGATGTTTATTAAAAATATGTATGCACACTTTCAATTCTCCAATTAAAACTTGCGATTTTATTTAAATATTATCATAACTTTTTAAATCAGAAAAAAGATTAGTTAATTTCCTAAAAAAAGGTCTATACATTTTTTATATCTTTTACTGTTTTGTTGAAATACACGTTTAAAGTTTTAATTTAAGGTTAAATGTATAGTATACATTTATTAAACAATAATTCTAAGGGTGCCACATTTTATTAAGGGCCGATTTATTCGTAAGTAATATCATAAGGGCATTTAATTTTTCCGAAAAGAATCGAAAAAACACGTTGCTAAGTAATATTTTAACAAAAAGCATGAGTGCTGGTGGCAACAAAAATCCGAGTCGAAGAGGAGGATTTTTGCACCTGCACGAATGCATTTTGTTAAAAAATATTACTTAGCATTGTGTTATTTCTATTTTTTTCACAGGAAAAATTAGATGCTCGAATGGTATTTGACAAGACTATTTCATGAGTAACAGTTAACAATTAAAATATAAATTGCAATTTTTGTTGACAACAGCTGTCAAGTTTTGCCGCGGGTAAACTCGAATAAACTGCTGACAGGTGCTGTCACACAGTTTTTTCACCTAGAAACCATTTGTAATTCAAAATTGCGCGTTTGTGATTGGTGGAAATTAAGACGAGGGAAATAGTCATTTTTAATTTATTTGACGAATAATTTCTTTGGATACTAGATATTGCCAAGACATGAAAGTTATCGGCCCGATAAACTTTACTAAAGATGAATAAACCGGTCCTTAGTTAAATTTCATGAATTTCTTCGTAACTTTTACTACAATTTTTCATTTTTGTTTATAAAAAAACACTTAAAAACTAAACAAAAATTATAGAGTATACTCTATACGTACGTACACGTATACTGAAAATGACAATTCAAACATCAAATAAATATTTAATAGATCTAAGTTTCATGGCAACCTTTAAGGATATATTAATTAAGGGAACATAAATGAATACGTCAAAGGTTAGATTAAAAGTTTGAACGTTTATTGCAACAAAACAGTAAAATTTATAAAAAAAATTGTAAAAACCTTTTTTTTAGTTATGCAAATATTAAATATTTAAATTAAATCGCTAGTTTTAATTGGATAATTGAAAGAGTGCATAATATTTTTAATAAATAGCCAATTAAAACAATTCAAACCGCCAAATTTTTTTTATTTTGCTCTTAAAATTTTAGTTATGACCTAATTAACAAGAATATAAAAAAAATTAGGTTTCACAGAAAGTCCAAAAATCACATCTCAGAACAGCACCGTGGGCTATATACAAAACATTTTTTGAAATTTTGGCCTTAATATAAAGTTTTTGAAAACGAAAGTATGTTTTATAAATCAAGTACCACAAAGCCCACAAAACTCAAGTTTGCTTTTTCTTTTATCCGTAAAGGCCAGGAAACCGAGAGTTTTTGCCATTTTCCCAACATTTTATTAAAGTGGATATAGCCGGTTTTGCAGGGATGCTCCTCACTGAGGAGCATCCCTGCAAAACCGGCTCAGTTAAAGTTGCAGTTAGTTATCTGGTAGGTAATTTCCATGGATACCATTGTTCTCATAACGATCGATATGGAATTTAACTGTCAGATAGACTAACTGGAACTTAATCAGAGATTGATGAATATGATAAATATGGAAAATATGGAAAATGTATATCGACTTAATTATTCTTGTCTTGTGTTTAAAACGCTAAAAACCTCAATACCACAATATTTAAGAGAAAATTTAAAGTATCGAAGTGACACACCTAACGGATCTACTTTAACCATGCCCCACCACACCATGGCTTTGTTTAAGAAATCTTTCAGTTATCTCTCAGTTAAGACTTATAACACGTTGAAGTCAAGTTTTAAAAATACAAAATTATCTATTTAAAAAATTGCTTATTTAGTTTAGTTTTTAAAATGGTATAACATTCGTCATGGTTTACTTTAAAGAAAAAAATATTGCTGTTTTACTTCAAAACGAGCTGGCTGTGAAATTAGTTTAATAATTAGAAATTTAAATAAAAACACTTATTTAATGAAAGTAACATATATTTATTTAAAACTAAACGAACCACAAATAAAAATTTAAAAAAAATGTTCAAATTGCCTGCCAACAAGTCGAGTTCAAGCAAGGCATCTTTTTAAAAATGATCGTTGTATCCGTCTTGCACTTCATACGTTCTTTATTAATTTTTTTGTGCGGCTTTATTAATCCTTAATTTAGGTTTTAAATCCGGAGACCAGGGAGGCCAAAAAATATGACCAAGACGAACGATCCATCTCTCTAGATTAATCTGATCCAAAAAAAGCTCTCACTTCTCGTTCGTAGATAATGTGAACCACATTCAATGCAAGAAGAAAGGTATTGCCTGTTGCCACAGAAGGATACATTTTCATTTACTAATGAAGGCACATTTTAAAAAGATGCTTTTATGAACATGCACAACCTTCATTGCTATAGCAATACCTTTCTTCTTGCATTGAATGTGGTTTATCAAGTGCATATATGCACTTGATAAACCACATTCAATGCAAGAAGAAAGGTATCAGTATCGCTTCAAAGTGAATTTGTAGACCGGCATCTTAAACGGCCAAATAATTAATTTGTCCCTTTAAATTAACTAAAAGTTTAAATAAGGAAAATGATTTTGATGATGGCTACGCGCAGGGCAATGTTGCTTAACACGATGACTGACCAGCTCATTACGCACGAGGAGTGATTATTTAGATCAGGTTTATCCAGAGAGATGGATCGGATGGTCTTTGTTCCATTTTGTGGCTTAAATTAAAATCCTTTCGATTTTTTTTACTGGGTTTGCATAAAGGAAAAAGTCTTTGGAAGTAAATCATAACGTAAATAAATTGATGAAGCCCCACAATAAATAAATGACGCAGGAAGTGCAAGACGGATAAAACGACTTAATGGCAGGCAATTTAATCACATTCTTTGTTTTTTATTTCTGATTTGTTTACGTTTGAATAAATAAATATAGCTTTCACTAAACAAGTGTTTTTAAAACTGTTTTATTTGAATTTATAACTGTAATTAATAGAAGGCCTATTCAGGGTTACGCAAAATAAAATATTATCTAAGAATATGCAATTTTTTAGCAATGGCACTCGAAAAACTAATTTTAGGTGTAAAGTTTCCCAAAATTCATAAAAATGACAATATCTTAAAAAATAAAGATTTTTTACCAAGGCCATGTTTTGTTCATTAGTCTTTTTAGCAAAATATTTCAAAATCAGTTATATCTAACGAAAATGCATTTAACGGTTCACAATTTTCATTAACGACATTTTGATGTGGGATCAACATTAAGCATAAAACCATCAATAACTTAAAAAAACTACTTTATTTTAAACAACAAAACTTAATGGTAGGCCAATTTGCCAACAGGGGCGGCATAGGCAACAGGGGCGGCTACAGTCTTAACGGCAAGGGGTTCTCTGTGTACGACGGCGTTGAATCCGTTGACCGGATCGGCGGTGTATTCGACGGTTCTTTTGACACCATCAGGGTCCACCAAGGAGTAGCTGCCTTGGACTACGTCACCATTTCTTGATTCGTGTTGAGATTTGGCGTCGCCGGTAAGGCCGTCCTGGACGTCGTAGCCGTATGAGTACTGAGGGTTGGGGTCATACTCTTCGGGTTGGGCGTAGGCTACGGTTTTGGCAACTGCTAGTGGGGCTGCTGGAAGAAGACCTGCTGAAGCTACTACGACTAAAGCGGCAAGAAGAACGAACTAAAAAAGATTTTATGTTATAAAGCGTTATACAGGAAATTAAGTCATTTTTTTAGATTGAATTCAGCTAACCCCAGCATTTTATCATTCATGACGAAATGCTGGTGTTAACTAAATGCAATTTAAAAAAATAACGCCGATATATGTTTGAAAAAGAGTTCTTAACAAACGTTAGAACTTTACTTACTTTGTAAACCATTTTGATGTATTTTTTGTACTGTGTGCCTTTTGAAGACACTCGCGGTTTATATATTGAAAAAAGTGGATCACTTGTTGTTTTAAATCTGGTTTTTGACACTCCCAACAGCATTTCGGTTCGTGAATTATGTAATAACGCGCCCGCTTATGTAATTCGTAAGTACAACGAGACAAGATTATTTGGCAATATATTTGTTATTGATGGCGATATATATTTAAGTAATTAATATTATAAAGGATTAAAGGTACGATTATGTCACTGATTTGAATTGTGCGTTATATTTTTATTAAAAATGTTTAAAAGAGTCCATTTCATTCAGTATATAATTAACATTTTATTTAAATCAAACAATTTAAGTAAGTTTAACCTAATACTCCAAACTCCAAAGTTAAAATATTATTTTTAAAGATATGATCAACTTTTAAGACGCATAAATATTGTAATTTTAAAAAATGATAACATTTGTAAATATATTTTTAATATTAACTTATTTTTGTAAGGATACCCTAAACATTTAATCAAAACCGGACATTTTTTGTAGAAGTTACAGGGCTTAGAAAAAATGTGGACTCGCTGGGTTCTAAAGGTTCTAAATATTCTTGTAAGTTGATGATTTTTGTAAATTATTTAAGGAATAATAATATAAATAAGATCTTTTTATAACAAAAAACTCTAGTTTTTAGTTAAAATCCTTATGAAAGTTTTAAAATTATTTTAAAAATAGTTATATTTTCAACAAAATGCCCATTGATTTTTTCATTATTCTAAATGTTGACCTGATATTTAACAAAATAATAGACATATCAAAAATATACTAATTGCATTAAAAAACCTACAAATTTCATTAAAATTAGACTGGTAAAGCTCAAAATTAATAAATTTTTTATATAAAATATATTTAAAAAATCTGTGAATGTTTTTAATAAAAAGATTGCAGTTTTCTTAATATACTCCAAAAATATTACACTGCGCGTCAAAATTAACTCATAATAAGTAAAAAAAAAACTCTAACTCTAAAACGCCTTTACCAATCTTCATAAAATTTTGGATAAAAATACTTTAACTAATATCTCAGTTTATGTATTCAAGGGTTTTTTGAAAAAATATCCTTAAAGCCCTTATATTTAATAATAAAAAAACGCTCAAAAAAAACTTTTATAGGGAATTTTTTTTAAGTAAATAAAAGAAATGCTGTAAAATACCGTATTTTTGTAAGTATACCCTGAAAATGTTGTACAAATCAAACGAACAGTAACGAAAATACAGCGCTTCAAAGTCGTCAAAAATTACCACTTTTCAGCAAAATAATCAAAAAGGGGTCATTTTTACCGACTTTGAAGCGCTGTATCTTCGTTACTGTTCGTTTGATTTGTACAAAATTTTCAGGGCATACTAACAAAAATACGGTCTTTAAATCCCTAAAAGTTATTTTTTGAACGTTTTTTTATTATAAATAAAAGGGCTTTAAAAATATTTTCTCGAAAAACCCTCGAACACGTAAACTGAGATATAAGTTAAAGTATTTTTATCCAAAATTATATAAAGATTGGTAAAGGCGTTTTAGATTTATAATTTTTTTACTTAATATGCGTTAATTTTGACGCGCAGTGTAACATTTTTGGAGTATATTAAGAAAACTGCAATCTTTTTAAAAACATTTACAGATTTTTTAAATTATAAAAGTTTTTAATGTTTTCTATATTTTATATAAAAAAATTATTAATTTTGAGCTTTACCAGTCTAATTTTAATGAAATTTGTAGGTTTTTTAATGCAATTAGTATATTTTTGATATGTCTATTATTTTGTTAAATATCAGGTCAACATTTAGAATAATGAATTTTGACGCGCAGTGTATTAAAATTCAAATTTTTTTTGTAGAAGTTAAGCTGCTTTAAAAAAACTCGATGCATCGCGATGGTGCCTAAATCTTTAGGATATACTAAGAAAATACAAACAGAATAATTATTTCAATTTAAAATATTTAAAATATCATATTCTTTTTAGTTTTCATTACAAAAATGCTTTTTCAATAAAAAAAATTGAAGGTATTAAATAATATTTGCATGTTTTAAAAGTTATTGCATAATCTATTTTTAGCAAAACCGATACCGCGATAGCTAAAACACAATATAGAAATAAAATATATATTATATACCTATGCATTATATACTATCCTTTTAATTTTTTAAATAAATTATTTACTTATAATAATAATTAAATACATATCTTATTTTGTACACAAGAATTTTTGTAATTTTGTTTTATTTTAAAATTAAACTTATAATTTTCTTACCTGCCCAGCATTATAATTTATAGCCATTTTACAACCTTTTCACTAATACCTAAAATACACTAAAAAAATATCATATTTTTGATTAATCGTTCTTATTTTTAACCACGCCGGTATAAAAACATCTACAGTATATTTCGAGCTTTTAAATAATCGATTTTTATTTGCTTGATATAACAAACCAAAGTTTTTACATATCCTAGACAACCGCTCGGAAAACCAATTTTAAAAGTATTGAATTTTAACTTTTGAATATGTTTCCCATGCCAAGTCCAGTTAATTAAAACATTCTTATTATCTTAATGAATAAAATAAGATTTTCTACAAAAAATCTAACAAAGAAAACTTTTTTAAATAAATATATTACCTACAAATAATAGACCACTCCCTTTCAAATAGGTATTATCAACTTTCAACAATACACATATCGATTTAGGGGTGGTCCGTGAGTCCTGGCGCTCCCTATTGGTCCAGGGGTGGTCCTTCAGGATGCTGAGGGTTGTTTTGCATCCTTTGAGATTTTATCTTAGTATCAAAACATCTCTCTAACAGTCAAGTGTGTTTTTGTTCAAGGGTTTCGAGTAAAATATAGGTAAGTTAAAAGTGTGAACAAATGTTTTTATCAAGAAAAGTATGAAATGTATTTGAAAAAGCATATTTTAGTTAGTATACCCTAAAATTTTCGTTAAAATTGGACCAATTTTGTGGAAGCTTTAGAGCTTCAAAAATTATTTATTTATTTTAAAAATATACTCTCTAAAAGTGAAACAGTGAAATGTTCACTATTTCCGTCAGTGAGTTATTATTCACTGTAAAATTAGTGTTTTTCAATATAAATTAGTGAAATTTTAACTTCTCCAAATTAGTGTTTTTTATTATCACTACTTTTCCGGAACTCTCGACATAAAATAGTGAAATTTTAACTTTTTTGAACTAAACCTAATTCACTAATTTGTACAGTGTAATTTCCACTAAATAAATAAGTGCAAAGAAATCGCTACGTGAAAAAGTGAGTACCTATTCACTAATTGCTAGTGGTATACTTATCACTGCGGCAAATAGTTAATATGCACTGTCAATCAGTGAAAATCCACTGTTTAATTTTTACCCAAAATATGAGCAATTTTAATTATACAAACGTTTATATTCTTTATAGATTTTTATCAACATTTGATTATTTTTATAGAAGTTACATGGATTTAATTTATTTTTTCTACTCCCACCTTTAAAACGCCTATATGGTACATGTTTCCATGATACTACTCTCTAAAAGTAAAACAGTGTAATTTTCACTATTTCCGTCAGTGAGTTATTATTCACTGTAAAATTAGTGTTTTTCAATATAAATTAGTGAAATTTTAACTTCTCCAAATTAGTGTTTTTATTATCACTACTTTTCCAGAACTCTCGACAAAAAATAGTGAAATTTTAACTTCTTTGAACTAAACCTATTTCACTAATTTGTACAGTGTAATTTCCACTAAATAAATTGGTGCAAAGAAATCGCTACATGAAAAAGTGAGTATTCACTAATTGCTGGTGGTATACTTATCACTGCGGCAAATAGTTAATATGCACTGTCAATCAGTGAAAATCCACTGTTTAATTTTTACCCAAAATATGAGCAATTTTAATTATACAAACGTTTATATTCTTTATAGATTTTTATCAACATTTGATTATTTTTATAGAAGTTACATGGATTTAATTTATTTTTTCTACTCCCACCTTTAAAACGCCTATATGGTACATGTTTCCATGATACTACTCTCTAAAAGTAAAACAGTGTAATTTTCACTATTTCCGTCAGTGAGTTATTATTCACTGTAAAATTAGTGTTTTTCAATATAAATTAGTGAAATTTTAACTTCTCCAAATTAGTGTTTTTATTATCACTACTTTTCCAGAACTCTCGACAAAAAATAGTGAAATTTTAACTTCTTTGAACTAAACCTATTTCACTAATTTGTACAGTGTAATTTCCACTAAATAAATTGGTGCAAAGAAATCGCTACATGAAAAAGTGAGTATTCACTAATTGCTGGTGGTATACTTATCACTGCGGCAAATAGTTAATATGCACTGTCAATCAGTCAAAATCCACTGTTTCATTTTTAGAGAGTAATTACTTAAGTGACCTTTTAAATACACATTGACCATTGTGGCTTTATGACGTTTTAGTCACAAGTTAGCGACAGGTTTTTAGTTACGGGCTGAAGTTAGTTGACAGTTGTCAAATTTCAAAGAATCGTTAAAAATGTGAAAATTATTTTATTGTCTCAATACAAAAGAATTAAATAGTTTCTCGACGCCAATATTTGAAAAGTTTATTGGAACATTGTACAGACCTTTTAATTTCGCCGGTAAACTAGATATAACTTAACTTCGGACTCGGACTTCCTCGTGAAGTGCTTATAAAACATTTTCTTTACTTTCAATGTGAAAAACTTGTTGATCCATTTTTAAGGGATACATTTTGATTTATAACATAAAAATTTGACAGTAACACAGATTTCCCTATTGTTTTATAGATGGCGCTCTATACAAATACTTAATTTAAATCATGTTTAGATAATAATAAGTATAACTCGTTTATAAACATTTCTAGACACTCATTAATTTAAGTACTCACTAGCAAGCTCGCTCGTGCTTAAAGTAAATTCGTGAATAAAATGGCGTTTATCAAACTTGATACATAATATACTATTATATTTTAATAAATTTACTTTTAA